TGTTTAGTGACTGATTGAAATTAACCAGCACGAAAAAACTGACATGTCCATTTTTCACATTGACAACTGTTGCAGCAACCCCATGGCCGTGTAATCAAAATTCAGACCCTTGAAAACGATCTCATAGTTATGACGGTCGCAGTGTCCTGGGATCACTTGATCCCCTTTTGCGACCTTCTGACAGGCAAAGCCCATGGGGAAGCCATATTCATTTAACAGCCGTGTTACCAACTTAACAACTGCAGGAATTCACTGAACAACCGTGGCAAGGAAAATGGGGCAAATGTCCTGCTTAGCAACCGACATGTTGGGCTCAATCATGGTGCTAAGTTAGAAACTACCTCTATAGCACTTTGAACAGGTGGAGAAACATTGGGAGAAACAAAATTTGAATTCTCCTTGTGTAAAAGACACACTTAACGTAAACAAATAAAAGATAGACGCAAGTTGCATCAGAATTAAGTCAGTTCCAGTTTGTAGCACTGGCCACAAAGCTGGGTATTTGCAAAAAAGAGCCATCAAATTGCACCCACCTGTGCATCTAAATCGCACACACAGCACCCTCCACTAGCTTACTGTGTTGAGTATTTTTGCTCAGAAACATAACAAATGATCTGAGTTTGTGCAAGACTGTGTGCAACCCAAACCAAACAAAGCTAGCTATGGTTGACATTAACTAAGCTTACCAGGTAGTGTGAATGCACAACTGGATTTGTTAACCACCCACTGGAAAATGTGATTTTCCAGGAAGTTTTGAGCCATGCTTTCCTCTACTGCTTCTCTGCTTTTAATGTACTGATGGAGGAGACTTAACTAATTGAACCAGTGATCAAATTTTACATTTCTCCACATGAAAATAGAGCCCTTGGGCCTTATTTTCTAGCACAGGGGTCGCCAACCTTTTGGACCTCAGGGACTGCCAAACTCATAATTTTAGATCCCAGGGACCACTAACTGGTTCTGTGGGCATGGCCTAATTTGTGGGTGTGGCTCGATGGTCATGTGACTGGCTGGGCACGGCTTGTATGTAAATATTATAAATATTTATATAAATATTGATTTTTTTTAATAAAAAAAGAGCAACTTTTACCCAAAATCAGGCAAAGCAGGCAGGCAGATTGAGTTGCTCACAGAATCACAGATTCATTCAGAAATCTATCTGCCATTGGCTAGCTCAGTCTCTCACATAAAATTTGCTAGCAAGCAAACTCACAAAATTAACTCACAACACACCATGTATGTAAATATTGATTTTTTTATTTAAAAAAAGCAACTTTTATCCACAATCAGACAAAGCAGGCAGACAGATTGAGTTGCTCACAGAATCATTCAATGATCAATCTATCTGTCATCGGCTAGCTCAGTCTCTCAAATTTGCTTGCTGTGAGTCTGCACTGAATTTGCTTGCAAGCAAACCTTCAGTCCTAAGGGAGGTTCGGCTGCGCTTAGCTAGAAAGCAAGAAATCCAACCATTTCCTGCTTCCTAGCTAATCTAAATCTCCCGGCATTGCAGAACAGATGATGGTCGGGAAAAGGAAAAATAGCAACTTAGCACTCAGACAAGTTTTACCGGGTAAGGAGTGAGTGGGTGGGGAGGGTTCCAGCGGGCCATGTGGGTGGTGCAGCCTTGTGTTTCTGCGCAGCCTGGATTAATTGCTTTGGGGGCGGGTTGCTCTGGGGGTGAGATTTCTCTGCAGCCCACCAAAATTTTCTCATGAACCATCAGTGGGCCGCGGCCCACCAGTTGGCGGCCGCTGTTCTAGCAGTTATTTGCAGTTTTGGGTGATTCTAGAGTTGCACATGTAACATCTCTGCAATGTGAGCTACGTTGGGTGCTAGTGTGTTTGTGAGTCCAGTTCAGGATGTTGGTTACCACCACTAAAGTACCTCACTAGCACCACTTTATAAAGCCTTAGTAACCACACTTAGAATCCTGCGTCCAATTTTGGTCACCATATTATAAAATTGAGTGCAGAAAAGAGCAACAAAGATAATTAGAGAACTGAAGGCTAAAACATTATGAAGAATGGCTGCAGGCATTGGGTATGGCTAGTCTAGTGAAAATAAGAACTAGGGGCGACATGTTAGCAGTCTTCCAATATTTTAGGAGCTGCCACAAAGAAGAGGAAGGGGTCAACCTATTCTTCAAAGCACGTGAAGGCAAGAAACAATGGATAGAAACTAATCAAGGAGAGAAGCAACCTGGAATTGAGGAGAAACTTCCCACGGAGAGAATTTAGAAAAGTTGCATTGCAACAGTGGAACTTCAGAAGTTGTGGGTGCTCCAAGACTGGAAGTTTTTAAGAAGAGATTGGACAATAATTTATCTAAAATGGTATAGGGTCTCCTGCCTGAGCAGGGGTGGACTAGAAAGTCCCTTCCGACTCTATTATTCATGGCATGGGATCAGGTTACCATCTCATCCTGACTTCATTGACCCATCATCCCTCTTGGGCAAGCAGGGAGCACATATTTCCTACCCCATCGGTTAAACAAGTCCAAATGTTGGGGTCTAAGAAGAGAGCCTTCTCGGGACATCCCCGCCCCCTTGTCCTTGTTCAGCTTGGCCTTGGAGATTTATAGGTATGTTTTTTTTGTTTTTATGGAAAGTTGCCATAAGTCACCTAGGATTATCCTGTAAAAGTAAACTAGCAATGCAGCTTTTCTAAATGAATAATTGTTGCCCTGTTTTCACTGCAGGCGCACAAAGTTGGCAACTGTGTTGTGGAAAGCATGGCTGGAGAGTGGAAAACTGACATCGCCTTCTTTTGTCTTTCCTGGGAGGTGTTGCAACAAAGCTAATATAACACCCAGGCACTGATCTGTGGAGAAACGGAAGTGAGATCTCACACATTAGGCCATTTCTCTTTTCCCAGAATGACATGGACAGGTTCATTCGGTTGGTGGTTATTTTTAAACCTGCCCTGCAATAATTATGACGTTCTATTTTATAGATTTGAGGGCCACAAAAGGGAAGAATGGTATGGAAAAAAGAAAAGGCCACCAGTTCTACACAGTTTAGGAAACTTTGCCAGAGAGAGGAAGATGCAGTTTATTGACTTGCCAACATGATGTTGAATGCCACATCTATAAGTAAATATATTTATAAATAAATAAAATTCCTTTTTCAATTGTTTTCTGTTTTGTCCTTTTTTTTCCTTGATGAAATTCAGTCCTTCATTGTTCTATAGCATAATATTTGGGATGGAATATAATAAC